GTTCAAAAGATTAATGTTAGAGCAGTTTGAATAAGAACCTTATACATTGCAATTACAAAGATTTTATGCATGTATTCAAGAAACAATCAAAGATGTTCAAATATTTGCAGTTTGTATACAATCATTGGCTTCAAAGATTGAAATTGATCAAATAGGCACAGATGCAGCAGAAATAGCTATAATCCAGTGAGTAAAAAAAAAAAAGGAATTAGATGAAAGACTTAGGGGGCAGTTTTTAAATGGGTTGGATAGCAAAATAAAATGAATAGTTGTCATGAGAACCAAAAACTTTGATGAAGCAATCAAAATCACTGTTAGCAAGGAAACTATAGAACAGTTAACAAATCCATCAACAATTGTTAGAAAAATAGACCATCAAGCAATAGGGATAAAGGAATTGAAAGAAACGATTTCAAAACTCCAGGATCAGTTGAATGATTTGAGGCAAAGAATGACACACCATTATATGAATACATTTTATCCAAATGATAGGAATGTGAATTATGCAAGTCCAAACTGTCTCTTTTATTGAAACAAAACATTTCACTAAAACAAACAACGAATGTTCACAACTAGATTTCCGAGAGATACAAAGGTACAAGGACAACAAAACAACTCGTATATGGTACCCAATGTTAGACATATACAGGAAATATCAGTTATACTCCAAAGCAACATTCAAAGCATAAGGAGGTTTATCGAAAAGAAACAAACTTCAAATAGAGATTTATCACCAATAGTGATAAGAAGAATCGGAGTGATGTTGGAAAGACCAAAAAATGCTATAGGGCACAAGACAGGTACCCTAGTTCAAAGGAGCAGAGTCATAAAGAAAGACAGAGTAGAAAATAGATGCCAATGCATGGTCAGATCATTGTACTCCTTTGCAGATTCAGATTCATGAGAAAAGAAAATAAAGAAATTTGATAGCACAACAATTCCAAAGAAAACAAAATCAGATGTGATAGACAAACCTGTAAGAAAAGTTAAAATTTGTGAAACAATAGAAAAAGGACTAAATGAAAATAATCTAATTTTCACTTAGACACACAGAGTTCAAAGGAGTCAAACAAAACAAAAAAATAATAATAATGGAACTTTTGCATCAAAAAAAGCAACTGTGGAACGATACAAGGATATCCCTCCATATACACAGATCAAGGCTAGCAAAATACCTAGACTTATTATACCCACTTTACCTAGTTGTAGAGATGAAGAAAAAAAAACACACTTTAGAAAAAAAAACCAGTAGAACAGATACAAGATGACAGGAATGATAATGCAATAATGACTATTCACTTCCCTTTTCCACAGAATAAAATAGGAAATGGAATAATCTGAAATTGGATCACCCACCTTTTTAAACTAATTTTGTGTGTTACTTTGACAATCATTTTTGGATTACAGAGACAAATTATATACATAGTAACATACAGCAGTCCAGTTATATAGTAATATAATAATATATTGACAATCATTGTTTGTCCTTCTGTTGATTTCAGAAATTATTTTGAATTGGACGTGAAAAATAAATCTACAATTGATTATTATCCAATAAACATTTTAGAGTTACAATCTAGTTTTAATTTAGAAGATAAAGTTATGTTAGAGGCTAGATATTTCTTATATATATATCCAGATTGACTGAATGTGTGTGCAATTTCTATTTGACTGTGCACACGTGTGATGACGGGTTAATGTAAATAAATAATGTAAAAACAGGATTTGTGACCCTACTACCAGAATCTTCTCATCAGTCCTGACACCAGTTAGGCTAAACTAGTTGCATTTTAACTTGTGAATTAAGAAATAAAATAGATATATATATATATCTAAGAAATAGCTAGCCTATATATAATATAATATCTAGCCTATAATAGGTATATATTTTATTTCTTAATTCACAAGTTAAAATGCAACTAGTTTAGCCTAACTGGTGTCAGGACTGATGAGAAGATTCTGGTAGTAGGGTCACAAATCCTGTTTTTACATTATTTATTTACATTAACCCGTCATCACACGTGTGCACAGTCAAATAGAAATTGCACACCCTCGGTCAATCTGGCACCAATTTCAAAAATTAATAAAAATTTAGCATCGAAAAACGAGTATTTTTACTTTAACCTAGTTTTATAATATGTTTGTAGTCAAATTCAGTCAAAAAATTTTAATTTCATTATTATTTATTGACGATTTTAATTTTTTAATATTAGAAGGTAATTAGCATAAATTACAAGGTGTCGTGTTTCTTCTTCGCTCCCATTCAAGTTTATTGTCCTAGACACACACCGATGTTTGTTTTTACTTCTACTGGCGATTAGGCTTTTATTTCAACCTTATCTGTTTTGGTTACAAAAGATGGGGGAGACAGGCGTCACATGATCTCTTACCTCACTTTTTATTACAGAAATTTCCTTACCTTAAAAGTTTTATTTTTTTTCTCGATTTTAATTATTATTAACTATCTTTTTTGATAGATTCTCATATATGTGTTTTCTGAAGTTGCAGATTTTATTAAGTTTTACGCATTTATGCTTTTTTTTTTTTTTTTTTTTTTTTTACATATAACATATTTAAATAATTTTTAAATTTTCTTATGTTATCAGAAATGCTAAATTAATAAGTACAGTGTGTTTTACAATACTATTGCGAACAGATATAGTCAATTATTTTGTAAACATACGAGGTCTGTTCAAAAAGTATCGGACTTTTATTTTTTCCGCGTAAACCAATGATGCGCGGGAGGCCTCTTTCGGTGGAGTTGTGGAGGGGACAGTCATGCGCAGCCCTGAATTTTTTCCCGCCTGCAGGAAGCATCAGTCATTGGCAGTCGGGCTATGAGTGAGGTCATGTAGTGAGCTCTCGTCAGATTCCACTAAGTTGGAAAATGACTGAACAACGTGAGCAGCGATATTACATCAAATTTTGCCAAAAACCTTGGCGATACCCGAGTGTAAACCATTCGCAAGATTCAGCAGGCTTTCGGGGACGATCCTCGAGGCCAAAAAAAGCGCGGCAGGTCCGCAGCAATATCAAAGGTCATGTTGACAGTTTTTTCGACTCTCGTGGGGTGGTGTGTCGTGAGTACGCACCACAAGGCCAAACCATCGCAAAGGAGTACTACCAGGAGGTCCTTCGTCGTCTTTCCGATACAGTGCGACGCAAACGACCGGATCTGTGGTCGATCAAAACTTGGCAGCTCCATCGTGATAACGCATCCGCCCATTCTGCGCATCTGATTCGGGCTTTCGTCGCCAAACACAACACTCCTGTGGTTCGTCACGCTCCGTACTCTCCCCACATGGCTCCGTGTGACTTTTGGCTATTTCCCAAGCTGAAAATGCCGCTAAAAGGAACCCGATTTTAGTCAAGAGAAGACATCATGCGGAATGCGACAGACTGGCTGATGGCCATTCCAAAAGATGTGTTCCAGCAGTGTTTCCAGCAATGGCAGGAATGCTGGGAGAAGTGTATACACTACCAAGGAGACTACTTTGAAGGGGATTAGGGTTTTGTACCTCAAAATCAATAAATTTATTTTTGCCAACCAAAGGTCCAATACTTTTTGAACAGACCTCGTATTTATTATTTTAATTTTTATAAATTATTTAAATTGAAGCAACACGACGTGCTCAGAATCGATTAATTACCATTGCGCATTATTTAAGATGGACTCGATTCAATTACTTCTTCATTTCAGATGTTATAGTGTGTTATTTTAATGTAATTTTACACATAATGTATGTTTATTATAATTAATAAATCTATATAGGAATAATCTGTGTGTCTGAATAAAACAAAGCGATTATAAAAATAAAAAGTGTGCGTTGCATCTTGATTGTTTGTAAGCAAAGTTTTATGATTTTAATTTTTAAAACAAGAGATTTTTATTTATATTTTCTATAATTTGATTTGTAAATGCAAAAACTAAACTTATAAAATATCAACTCACTATAAATAATTTCAACTTTTATTTATTGATGTCAGATTTGTTAAATTTCATGAAATTGTATTATTTTTCAACTTCAGAGTAGTAAAGCCTGTTTATTTTTCCAGCAAAAATAATAGACTTGCTAGTCCTTCACTGTGAAAAATAATAAGCTGCTAATCGCTTTATTACTTTGTTTTCAAAAACTCTCCCCTCTGTCAGCTGAGGGTCAAATGGCTAACAAATTGTTTACTTCCACTCAGGAAAATGTTGTGATGATGTCATAAAATTTTATAAAATGATTAAAAATACCAATGGTAGAAATTAAATTATATCTAGTCAAATTCATATTTTTTAGAAGTTATTCACTTTAAAATAAGGCAATTATAAGCGAAGAAGTGCGCACACCACCACTGTGACTATTTTTAGTAACAGCAACTGGCAGAAAATTTGAAAATTGAAATCTGAGATCACATGCGCCATAGTGCCGATTTGACACCAATAATGAAATAAAAATAATGAAACTCTTTAAGCAAAAACTGACTTGCGCACTGTAAAATTGAAGAAAAATTAGACATGTAATAATTTTTTCAGATTTTTTAAACAATTAGAATTTTTACACTAACTAATTAAAAATTAATTGGTGCCTAATCGGGTGCCGATGGGTTAATGTCTGATAAGTGAAAAAATTAGAGATGACATTGGATTATAAGGAGGACTTTAAAAGAAAGAACTTTAGACTTCTGTTGTAAATGAAGTTTACAGGATCTACAAAATTTTAAAAAATCCACAATTATATCAAAATTTATATTTTGCATTAGAAATTAAACAATAAGGTCAGTTTGTATAAATTAACATAAACTTTTTGATCTATTAACAAGAATCCTGATAAAATGATGATAATATATAAAATATATTCAATAATATTTATATTCAAAGTTGTTCTTTAAAACTAAGTTAAATGTTCTGAAATAGTGTAAGAAACTTTTTTCTGATGAAATAAATATTTTAAAAATTTATGTAGTAATACTAAAAATGAAATAATATTAATATATCTTGAAATAAAGCTTACGTTTCAATGTCATGAACTACAACTTGTTCATCATTTCCTAAAATTAAAACAGATTTAATTACACCTGAAGTTACTTAAACTCATTTTAAAATTGATTAGACACATTATTATAATTTTACATACCTGCAGAAAATAATCTTGTATGGCCTGTATCAAATCCCAAACAAAATATATTGCTATTATGTTCGCCTAACATTGCTATTGGATGACTGACTCCTGAAATAGCCTTCTCAACATTCCAAAGCAAAACTCTTCTATCATCACCACCTATTAAATATAAATTTATAAATTAAGAAATACAAAATAACATTTTTAATTTATATATATATTCATTATTTATATTTTATTTAATTATTAAAATGTATATTCATATATATCTATATCTATATATAAAAATGGACATGTATGTCCCTATATTTCACTTTTTCGCCAAAACTACACATCACACGTGAATGGTGTTTGTATGTGGTAGTAGCCCCAAGTCTCCATTCGTGCATAGGGGTGGTTGCGTCTCGATAGCTATAAGGGTGCGGGAGATATGAGGCTGAAAGTGGTTGAAAGTGGCTTTCTATTTTGAATGTTTTGTTTAAATTTGTTCGAATTAAATTCAAACATAAAATTCGAATATTGGTTCGATTATAGAACGATTGTAAACGTTCCAGAAACGTTGAAAATAGTTCGTTTGACTAAACGTAAAAATTCTCTAATTAGTCTGGAAACGGGGGACCTAATTCTTGCATTCTGTGAAAACGGGTAAGATTAGCTATAATGTAATTATCTTAATCTTCACTATCGTTACTTTTTAAAAACCCAGCAAAGCGGGTTCTTGCAGCTAGATTCTAGATTACTTAGAAAAACAGTCTTTTATATATATATATATAAACTATATTACATACAAATGTACGAACAAATAAAAACCCAGCGAAGCGGGTCCTTGCAGCTAGTGTATAATAAATTTGTTACTATATTAAAATTATAATTATCCATGCTTTATATTAATGGTTTAAAACAAATTGAGAAATTCAAATGATTGTAATAACAGAATTTAAATTTCTCCAATTCATATTTTAGAATCACCTTTGAACTTTTATATAACTGATTTTTATTCAGTATTTAATTAATTTTAAACCATTTAAATTAAACAAATATAAAACTCTGTTTTATATTTGTTTAATTTAAATTTTGTTAATATAAAACTCTGTTTTATATTAACAAAATTTCTGTAATAAAATTTCAGACAGGATAAGAACAGGTCAGAACAATTCAGACAGGACTAATAACTTTCAGGATACTTTTCATCTTAAGTTACCTGAATATAAAACAAAAAACTTAACTGTTATATAAACAGAACAAAATTAATATTAAATATAGACAAACTAGAGTTTAGCAATTTAAATTTTAAATTCCAATTTCTGTCCTACATTTTATCTCATTCTTTGAACAGCAAACAACTTTTTTCATTTAATGTTTGGATAACTGAAAATGAGGAAATTATTTTTGAATATATAAGGAAAAGTCAGTAAACAGATTATCCTCTTCATTACTTGCAAAATGTCTGTGCCTCTAAGGTGACTTTTTTAGGAACTCAAATAGATATTGTTTGAGGCTAAGTTGAGGCTGTTAAGCTACCTTAGTTATTTGATTTTCTCCTAACTTAAAATCAAGCCAAATGAGATTTGACATTATTATGACAAAACAGTACTCTTCTACTCAGTAGGCTTGGATGTTATTTTCAAATTACAGATGAAGCTTTGACTAAACTTGACTAAGATTAAACATTCACAATCTGACCTTACTTCCAGAAATGGGCTAACAAGTACTCATTGAAAATCTCAAAACACTAAGCATAATCTTCCCTGATGATGGCCTTATCTTGATTTCTTGATTGATGGTGAGGATGTTTCCATTGCACTGAGATATGTTTTGATTTGTGTTAATAGTGATGTACCCATGTTTCATTCCCAATAACAATTGTATTAAGCATTCCTTGTCTTTCATCTCCATACTGAGTAAGATGCTGCAATGACATGTGTTCTTTCATAAGTTCTCGGGACAACCACCACAAGCGCACTTTCCAGAAATTCAAAACAATCATGCATTATCATGTAGACTAAACCAGAACACTATAGAGCAGTTACTACACTATCTACAGTTACTTGCTTATCAGCTCAAATCATCTCCTCTAGCTGCCACACAATTGCTTCTGTTGCAGTTTCAACAGGGTAACTAGGCGTCTTCATCAGCAACTTTTGAGCATCTTTAAAAATTTTTTTTCAACCTGGTTGTGTACTGATTTTTGCAATAAACACTTCTCCCTATGAAAGAAATGCTTCCTGTTTACTTGAAGTTTTTTTGCCCACAAAAAGTACAGAACATAGTGATCTTCAATAGTACACTTCTCAAGCACAACTACCATTTTGAAACTAAGCTGAACATGTACACACATCTAGAGTGTTATGTGAATTAATCATCAAGATGAATTGTGCTACCACCTAATGACATTTTTAGAAATTACTGCCATTTTTTAGCAATTACATATAAGTTTGTGACCCATTTACTGATTTTTCCTTGCATTTTTCTATAATGAAATTGCTAATTTCTATTTAAAACACAAAGCTTGTTTTTTTTTCAGTTAAAAACTAAACAATATGGATATTATTGATATTTAAGTTATACAATATACTATATATTATCTTTGTTTCAATTTTTCATTTCTAAACAATTCAAAAACTTCATGAAGAAAAGAAAAAAGGTGAATATTCATGTAACAATATTAAAAAAACCAAAACATCCAAAAATATTTTAAAATTTACTTACAAAATAAAATAATAAAAAATGGTTTAATAGCATCTTTTCATTTCACTCTTTTAGTTCTTTTATTTTCCATTTATTAAGTCAATTCTAATTATTTTTTTAAGTAAAAAACATTCATATTCAAATGAACTCTATCTACAAATAACTAATTCAAATCATTTCCAAACATTACTTTGTGATAAAACAAAGTTTTAAGAGAGTTATAAAGCAAATATCTCAGCACTTAATTATATCTTCTATATGATTTACAATGTTTAAAAAGTAGTGAAATGAAAATTTAGATAAACACAATAAAGTTTTAGTCAAGTATAGCCCTGTAATCTGACATAAAAAGTGCAACATAAATACTTTTATCATTACAAATGGCAGAATTATTAATCTTGGTCTTTCATTACATTTTTCATGTGTCTGAATTTTTAGTTAAAAGTTTTAGAGGTAAATTGAAATATATTTAAAATTCCTAACTATAGAATGATCTAGTGCCACCCTTTTTTAGATAAAATGATGAATTCCAAATAATATAAGAATAAAAATAATTTAAAATTCTTTAAATGTTGGCACACATACTAATTGATCTTTTCAATACAGTATTTATCACAAAAACAAATTTTAAAAATAATTTTGTTTTTAAATATTTTTTTTATTTAAAAAATGCATTTTAAATATACAAATTATATATTTAATAAAAAGATTTTCAAACATTTGGTTTTTTTAAAATACATTTTCACTTAGCTTTATTTGATATATTTATAGAATTTCCAATAATTTGACAAACTTAATACACTAAAGAGTATATCAAGTTACATAATGTTGATAGCAAACATCTGCTGGAATTTAGTTTTATTTTGATAAAAAATAAGTAAAAAAATTATATAAATATGACTATATTATAACAAGAACTCAAAATATAATGCTATCTAAGAATTGTATCTTAGTGCAGGTGTAGTTTCTTCTTTTACTAGCTATCTAAGGATTGAATTATGTTAATTATTCTATTTAATATCCTTGTCATTTTCATTGAAAGAAATTTACAAATCAAAAGTAATGACATGAATCAATTTGCTACACTGTTCAGCATCTATGTTAGAATCAATGCACCTTCAAGTTATATTTTAAAACCCCATGCTTTGGCATCTGAAATTTATTCATAAAGTTTATAAAGTATTACAAATCCATGCAGAAAGTATGCATAGATTCATAATTTACACCTTCAACTTTAAAGCACCTCTAAAATCATACTATATTTTTGTGGAATGGCTGGCATGTTGCATAAAAACAGGGGAAACCAGCATGCTGAAAACCCTGGTGTTACCAGCATGCTGGTTGAACTGTGAACAAAATATAAAATTAATCAGATCTAACAAAACTAGTTGATTAAATGTTAAAGAAAACATTCTTCTGAGTACAATAAAATAATAATATTGTAATTTGACTGACTTAAAATCAGGAAGAGTGTTTTCATTTACAACACAATAAAACAATTAATAACTTATTGACATTAGTAGTAGTAGTTAGTTAGTGTGGGCAACACTGACCATCTATCACAACCTTAAAAATATCACCATCTCAAATTTCACACAAAACCAATGTTAATGGGTGTAAGCCAAGATAATTTACAGTTTCTTAAATTTAATATGTTTATTTTTGTTTTTTTTGAATCAAACAATAATAAAAATACATTAAAAAAAAGCACTTTGGAATTCCACAAGTATTTTATGTTGTTAGAAAGAAGACAAAATGAAGAAATTAAATGTATAATTGTAGTTTTTGATGTAATGCTGACAGTTTCACATTTTAGTATAAAAATCTGTTTATTTTTTTTATTTTAATGCACTCTTTAGAGAGATATGTATAATCTTCCCTAAATAGGCATGCTGGCATTTCCCCGAGATAAACCAGCATGCCATACAGAAATATCCAATTTCATGGTCTCTCCAAATAGACCAGCATGGCAGTCATTTCGTGAAAACATGGTAAATTACACAATTAAAATCTACCTACCTATATAATCTAAGCTTAAGAATAAACTTCATTGTCACCATAGATTAAAAATATATATAAAAATTAACTGGTCAAAGACTTCAAGGAAATAAAATATACTTTATAATTACAAAACAAACTATAAGTCAAATTGAAGGAAGTTTACAATGATTAGACTTACAGTGTTACTTATTATAGGCTTGTATAAAAATATAAAACTTCATAACAGTTATTTGATATTATTATGTAAAGATAGAATTTTTATAAAAGAAAAAAAATGCTAAATAGTACCATAAATGATTTTTCCAATATGGGAGCTCCACATTTGGCTATGATTATCTTATCACTGCAGCAACAGTTAACAAAATACAGTAGAGTGTCGATTATCCGAACATCGATCAACTGAAACATCAGTTAACCGAAAGCGTTCCAGTTGGACTGTGTCGTGCTGAGTTGAACGTTTTTGATACTAG